CCGGGCGGAAACAAGGCGGCAGGGGGGGGGGCCCTTCACCACACCCACCCACCCACACACACACACACACACATTCTGCGCTGCACTCGCGGTGGAACATCTGGCCCCTCAGGGACCCATGCAAAAGTACTCCCGCGTGCCGGGGGTGGCCAGGCATGCACAAACACTCGCAGCCTCATCCCCAGGCCCATGGGAAGCCCTGCCGGGTGGGAGCTTCCCGGCTCCCTGACGAGAATGACGAGGCGCCCCTCCCAATCCCCTGGCGGAGAGTCAGGTCTGTCCGTGCCCCGGAGCTGCCGGGCTCGCGGGCGTCTGTGCCCCTGCCCCAGAGGGGGGGGGGGGGGCCGGCGGTCAAGCAGCCTGGCGCGACACCCCCGAGGGCGACGACCGGGCCACGCACGCCGGGCCCTCGGCAGAGGCGAGACGGCCCGGCGCCCGGGCCATGCTGCCCGTGTGCCCTCGATGTGGCGTGCCCCTAGCTGCCTCCTGTCGGGTCACTGTGCCCCCTTGCCTATCCCCCCAAGGGCAGGGGCGGGGCGAAAAACGTGTCCCCGCACGGGCCAGCCAGCCGCCCCACGTTGAGGGCGAGCATGGCCGCCCCTCCTGGGCGGCCGGGGGAGGGAGACCCGACCGCCGGGCGGGGAAGCCCCCCACTCCTCGCCGGAACGCGCGTGCACACACACACGCACACACACACACACACACACACATACATACAGGGAGACATCCCCCTCCCCGGGGTATTAACTTCCACAACGCCAACGCCACCTTGCGCCCTGGCGCCTGGTCTGCCCCGTGGTGGCAGGCACATGCCCCTCGCTCATCGGACGCCGATGCACGGATGCCGATGTGGCCTGGTGGCCCGCCCCCGGGGCGCCCTGGGCCAGGGCAACCTCCAACCTTCAGGCCCCCGGGCCCGGGAGCCGGTCGAATCCCCGGAGACGCCTCCGGCCGCCCGGGGGGCGCGCGCGTTGCCCCGCCGCGCGAGCTGCCGGCGCCCCCCCCCCCCCCCCGGCCGGACAGGGGACAGACCGCGGAAGGGGATGAAGGGGCACCGGGCGTCAGACACACGATGGGGAGAGGGGGGTTCAGCCCCCGGGCATGCGCGCCTGGCCAGGCCTGCGAGGGCGGGCATTTAATTTCCGTGCCGAGGACTCACCGCGGCGCTGGGCCGAGCAAGGCATCATCAAGTGTCCAGATCCACATGAAGGAGCCCGTCGGGCTGGCGATGCCGCGCTTGCGCAGCGCGCCCCCCCCGCCCCCTCCCCGCGCCAGAGGGAAAAGGCGAGAAAAAAAACCCGGCCAGTCGCGACGCCCGCACATGAGGCGGACGGTCTGGTCCGGGGAGGGGGCGGGCGAGGGGGGGGGGGGGACCGGCACGGCGCAACAAGAGATGCAAGCCCAGTCTCGCGTTGCTCATCGCCGGAAGCATGGCCGGCCGACCGGGAATCATGGCCCCGTTGCCCCCCCGGGGGGGGGGGGGGGGGGGGGCAAGGCAGGAGGGGCGACTGGCCAGCAACTTGGCCCGGGTGTTGACTACGTGGGCCGCCCGGGGGCCTCCTGGGCCTCGGGATGTTCCTGCGGCTTCCCCACCCCCCCGCCGCCCCCCTCACCCCCTCGCCGGGGCTCCCCTCTCGGCCCCGGTCGTCCGACCCCCCGGCGGCTGGCCTCGGGCGGGGAGATGTTTTTCCCCCGCGCCCGGAGGACAACTCGGCTACCACAGACCTGGCTGGGGCCCGCCGCCGCCGCCGCCGGCTGCGCCCTCTCGCGCGTCGGCCCCCTCCAGTCGTACGTGAAAAACGGCACCGGGGGCTGAGGGCGGGCCAAGGTGCCGCCTGTGACGTCCTGCAGGGAGGTGTCGACAATATTGTTGCCTGAAGCCGGCAGGCACGGACAGCAGCCTCCGGCCTCCGAAAAAAACACACCCATCCCCCCTCCCTGGGGCCGGCCAATGGGGTGGGGTTTGGGCGGCCTTCCGCCGGATAGCACCTGGTCTGTTTCAGCAGGGCCGGGCCAGGGCCGGGCGGAAACAAGGCGGCAGGGGGGGGGGCCCCTTCACCACACCCACCCACCCACACACACACACACACACATTCTGCGCTGCACTCGCGGTGGAACATCTGGCATGCCCGCTCAGCATATGACCCAGCCACTTTGCTCCGGCGTGAGAGCCCCCCCGGTGCACGCCATAACCCAGACCAAACACCGGGCGTCTCGCCAGCCACGCCGCCCCGTCGACCGACGCTCCACGCGTGCGAGACCCCACCTGCGGGTCGCGGGTAGACCACGCCCGCTACATCCCGCCCCCCCCCCCCCCCCGACCAACCCGGCCAGAGATGCCCCTGGTGCACACACGGCCCGCTGAGGCCAGCTCCTTCTGGAACGCACCGGTCGACTGGTCGGTGAAGAGACGCACGCGGCGCAGGACCGGCGTGCAAAGTGTTGACAAGGCTCGCGCTGGCCCATGGTTTCCTCCGTCGCAGGGTCACCTTGGCGGCCGGAGGCGGCCGGGGGGGGGAGGCGGCCAGCATGTCCTCTTGTGGGTAGCTCAATATCCATATGAATAGAAACATCTGGTTTTCCTTTCTTGCATACCACCAGCCATGCTCCTCGGCGGTGGTCCTCGGCCCGAGCTCCGGCGCCGCTCAGTTTGCCCGCGCGTGCGTGCATGGGACTCGGCAGGGAAGGAATGCCGAGGGCATGTGATTCGGCTCCACCGGGATGCCAAGCATCACAAGGCGAGGCGTGGGCCATCTCCTTCTTGCGGGTCCCGGATCACGCGCTAATCATGCCCCGGCGCTGGCATCTCCGGGTCCCCATCGCCCCCTGCTCCAAGGGCCACGGGCCTGCCCGGCCCCGTCCCCCCTCGAGCGGCAGCCCAAGGCGCTCGCCAGATCTCCCCCCCCCCCCCAAAACAAGACACTTCCCCTCTTCCCCCCTCTCCCCCCTCTCCCTACCCCCTGCCCCCTTGCACGCCCATTCCCCCCCCCCCCACCACAGACGCTCCCTGATGTCCAACACTCCACAGCTCAGCTCGCGCTTCACCTCGGCCGCTCTGTATGATGGCACCGCGCAGGAGGTGATGACCCCCCTGTCGGCACCGGATGGGCCCTCCTCATTGGATGCCCTGCTGGCCGCCCTCCCGGGGTTCCGTACCGGTATGGCCTCTGGGGCGCGGCACATTTCGCCCGCTTTCTGGACACCTCCTTCTCCTGCTCCTCCGATTGGGCCGCCGCCGTTTCTGACCCCTCACCCATTGCCCAGATGTCAACCAGCTGCTGACGGACGCCATTGCCGAGGCCGAGCGGCAGAAAGAAGCCGCCGCGGCCGCGGCCGCGGCCGCCGCGCCGGCCGATGAGGATGCCTTCGATGACCAGGAAGCCATGGAGGGCATCGACCCGAAGGACATCGCCGAGGAGGCGCGCCTTGTCAAGGAGCTCGAGGCCGAGCAGGACTCGGCCAGTGGTGCGGTTCGTACACCTTTCTCTCCGCTTGCCGCCGCCACCCCTGGCCGCGCACTGGCCAGGGCTTCCCGCACCTGAGCCTGCCACATCCTCTGACCCTCCTCCGCTGCCCTTGGCCGGCGCTTTTCCGACTCCTCCCTGTGTTCGGGACTTGCGCGCCTTCCCCGGTGGTGTGTTTTTTGGCTTTGTCGTGTGCATGTGCTCGCGTGTCGCCGCCGCCGCCGCGGCCGCCGCCTATCGACGGCCGCGCGCGATACCCCACAGTCTGACGACCGTTCGCCGAAGAAGGCGCGGACAGATTAGATCTGCCAACGCATGCTCCCCCAATAAACCACCTTGATGTAGGAGAACCAAAAGCGAGCCAAGGCGATGGACAAAGGGGCGGAGGGGCAGGCGGGTGGGCGGGCGGGCAGGCAGGCAGACAGACAAAGAGAGAGAGAGAGAGAGAGAGAGTGAGGGAGAGAGTGAGGGAGGATGGGCACCCCTTTGAGATCGGGCAGGAGGAGCGCCCGGGTCCCGTCCTTCCGTCGGCTGCTTGGGGTGAGGGCTTTTTTTTTGAATCCATCCTCTGACACTCACGTCCTCAGGGACGCCCAACACCTCGATCACCCCTCCTCGGTTACCCGACCGTCTCCCGCCCCCCCCCCCCACACAACCAGCCAACCACCCCCTATATACCACCACGGCCAATCCTCTCTCGCCTCCCTTCCTTCCCCGCCTCGGCCCCCTGCCCTGTGAAAGAGAGCCCACCATGGCCCGACGCCTGCCGGGGCTCCTGTCCGGTCTGCTGTTGTTCGGCCTTCTCGCCGGCAGCTTCGTGCGGGGAGTTGTCTTCGAGGACCAAGCCGGGCGCTTTGAATGGTACGCCACACACACGCACACACACTTGCCCCGCCCTGGCACTGCCCTCCCTCGGACCTCCCTCCCCCTCTTACTGACACTCCCCTCCGCCACACCAGGGCCCGGTCATTTGTGGGTCGCGTTGACTTCGCGACATTCACACCGCACTCGTTGGTGGTCGCCTCGACCGGCGGCGTGGTCGCCGCCCTGCCACGCGCCACCGACTCCCCGGCTATCCGTTCGTTCCCTCCATAGACACTCCTTTTGTTTCGCTGCTGTGCCCAAGCCCCAGCGTGGCGTCTCTCGCTTCTCTCTCTCCCTCCCTCTCTCTCTCTCTCTCTCCCTCTCCCCCCCCCCCCCCCCCCCGACTGCGCCCGCGCGCACGCTGACCTCCTCACTCTCGCAGTTTGGCGACATGTGCTTGACACGTCGGAGCATGTCGTTGCGCTACACACGGCGCGGGTCCTTCGCCGATCTGCCAGCAATGAGCTCACCGCCGAGGAGGGCTCCTTCGTGGCCACGGTATCGGAGCCGGCCGGCGCCGGGCGCCTCGTCTGGCGGGCGCACCGCACCAGCGACGGGGTGGTCGCCGCGTCACGCCCCCTGCTGGACCTGGAGCTGGACTTGCCGCCAGCCAGCACCAAGGCCACCTTGCGCCAGGTTGGCCAGACCCTGTGGGTATCGCGCCCGCAGGATGCCCAGTGCTTTGCCATCGACGTCGAGGTGGGCACCGTGAGTGTGACCCCCTGCAGCCAAGTCCCCCTCGAATCCCCCACCGCCACCGATCACTCGTTGGCCGGCGGCTTGGACCTCATCGATGGGGACCTTGTGACTGAGGCCACCCCCTGCGCCGGTGTCCCCAACATCATTCACATTCCGGGCCACTCGCCGGGTGCCATTCGCCAAGTGCGTCCATGTGTCCGCCCATGCGCGCTGATACGCACTCATCCCCGCCCTCTGGCCCTTTTTTCCTCCTCCCTCCCTGCCTCTCTGTCTCTCTGTCTCTCTCTCTCTCTCTCACCCTCGTCCTCTTCATGGTGACCCACTTGTCATCGTCAGTTCTGGCAAGACCCGGCGGTCGACCGGTCGCTGCTGCTTCAGCATGTCGACGGGACCCTGGCCTACTTCCACCGGCCGAACATCGCCGGTCCCGATGTCACCGAGGCCATCGGCCACGCAGCTTGTATTGCCAACCTGCATGGGCTCACTTGGTCTCGGGCCGAGGGCCTGGTCATGGCTCCGGTGTCGCACATGCTGCTGGATATGCCCGGGGCGTCCGGTACCGTGGACGCCCCCCATCGGGCTGACGTCCATGCGCCCGCGTCGGGCGGTCTCGCCGGGGTGACTCGAGCCATTCTCACACGCTGGGCCAGCGACATCCGCGGCCTGGCGGCCCTCTTCCGGCAGGCGGCCGGCCTTGGCGTCACCCTGCCTGAGACCCAGCTGAAGGTGTGTGTTCTCCATGCGGCCGTGTCCTCCCCCTTCCCCCCCCCCCCCCCTCCCTCTCCCTCCTCCTTCTTCCTTCTTCCTTCTCTCCCTCTCTCTCTGTCTCTCCCTGTCCGACCGGGTGAATTTCGCAATTGACTCAGACCTGTATCCCCGACCCTCCCGCCCCTTCTCCTTGCTCCTCCGCTGCTCGCCATTTCCCGGGCGCCTGACATCCGACCCGCCCCTGCCATGTTGCCGGGCTGCCTTTTATTCTCCCCCCCCCCCCCCCCCCCCCCCCCCTCTGCCCCCCCCACACACATACACTCGTGCAACCTCTCGCGCCATCGCCCACCGACAGGCCGATCCGCTTGGCGTGCACAAGCTCTTGGTTATCCTGAATGCATATGGGAGGATCTTCGGCCTGGCCTCCTCCGATGGGTCACTGCTATGGCAGGGATCCCTTCCTCTGGCCGGCCCGGCTGGGCACCTGGCCGCCGATGGCCGACTCCCTCCGGGCCTGGATTCGACCAGTCAGCTGTCCTGCGTGCCCGAAGACCTGCGTGCCACGCACCAGCAAGCCGACGAGGCCACGATCTTCCTCCGGTGCTCGGTTGCCGATCGGGCCGAGGATCTGGGCCTCTTGCAGAGGATTAGCTTGTCCACTGGCGCATTGGCCGGCCCGGGCGAGATCATGTGCGACAATCCCTTTTCTCCATTCGACCTCCACACACACACACACACACACACACACACACACACACACACACACACACGCGCGCGCGCGCGCACGCATGCATACAAGATCCTCCACTCTCTTTGCCTATCCTCCTCGCCTGCTCCCCGCCCGACCGACCTTCTTACTGGGCATTTGCGCCTCCGCTTTCGCCGCGTTTCTTTGCAGTCCCTTTGTGCCGGTCCACATCATGACGAACCCCCTGCTGGCGGTGGCCGAGGCCGGCGCCAGCCGCCAGGCCGAATGGCTGCTCGTGGCCCCTGGAGCTGCGTCGGCCATGACGGCGCCAGCCGGCCGGCCCTTGGTCGCCGGGGGACAAGGTCCCGACTTGGAGCATCGTTTTTTCCTGGCGGACCATGATGCCAATACCGTGACCGGCTATGGTCTCCGCTGCCCGGCCATGGGCGGGCCGTTGGACCGGCCGGCACAGCTATGGCGCCATAAGCTGACGGACGATCGCGAGACGCTGGTCACCGTGGCGGCCCATTCGCCCGGGGGTACGTACCGGCCCAAGCCGCCCTCCTGGCGGGGCTTTACCACATACTCACTCACTCATTCTCTTTCTCTCTCTCTCTCTCTCTCACACACACACACATACACACACACACTCCTCCCCATCCTGGTGTCCCCTCTCTGGCGGACCCCGCCTTTTTCCGCCTCTACTTCCCTCCCCCCTCGCTACTCTCCTCAGATATGCCTGCCTCCATTGGCCGCATCCTGCCCGATCGCAATGTCCTCTACAAATATCTGAACCCGACCGCCGTGGCCATTGTCTCGCGCGATGCGTCGGGTGTCCTTTGCGTGCGGCTGGTGGACGCCTTTTCCGGGCGCCAAGTCTTCTACCAAAAGCGCGAACGTTCTGCCAGGTGCGCCTGGCAGCCGGCCACCCTGTTGTCACGCCTTTCCATATGGGCCCCGGCCCCGATGTTGACCCTGCTTCCTGGTCCCCGCCCTCCCCTCGGGGGGCTCCTCTCGCCCGGTTCGGGCTTGCTGCTTGCACGGTTATGCGCCTTCCCCCTCCCCCCCCCCCTCCCCTGCCCTTGCCCCAACTGCAGTGCCTCCTCCGTTCAGGCTCTCCTCCGAGAGAACTGGCTCATTTTGACGTATTCAGCGGCGCCGGGCGGCGAGCCAGCCATCGATCAGCACCCTCGCTCCGAGGGGCTCATCAAGGTGGATGTCCTGGAGTTCTTTGAATCGTCGACGCGCAATGCCCGTGGTGACCCGACCACCGGCCTCGAGGGCATCCTGCCGCACGCCGAGGAACACTCCTTCCTCCTGCCATACGCCTTCTCCCCGGCTGGCGTTGGTGATGGGGAGGCGCTGCAGCTGGCCTCCTCGGTCACGCGTCACGGAATCACCAACCGCCAAATTGTCTGTGCGTCACGAGTGGCGCTCTCTCCCTCCCCTCCTTCTCCCCTGGGGCCTGGGCATTTCCCAGCAGCTGGCCTCCGATCAACTCTCTCTCTCTCACACACACATACACACTCTCTCTCTCTCTCTCTCTCGCGCCCCTCCCATAACCGCCCGGCGGATTTCGTCACGTACGTGCACCTCAATCGGCAGTTGCCCTGCCCCAGGGGTTTGTCCTGTCGCTGTCGCGGCGGACGCTGTCTCCGCGGCTGGGCACCGCCGGCACCGCCGGCGCCGACACCACGGCCCCGGCAGCGGCGTCCGGTCCCCGGCCACCGACGCTGCTCTCGCTGCGGGATGAGCACCACCGGATTTCGCTGAACCACGCGGTGCCGCGGCCGCACGCCTGCACCTCGGTCGGGACGCAGCTCGAGTCCACCAGCATCGTGGCGGTCCTCGGCGGACTGGACCTCTTCGTCACGGCTCGACTGAGTCCGGTTCAGCCCTTCGACACCCTGTCCGGCGAGGGGGGCGGTCCCTTCAGCAAGTCCACCGTGGCCATCACCGTCCTGGCCCTGGTGCTGGTGAATGTGGTCTTGTCGCGAGCGTCGGCCCGACGTGCGCTCCAGCGCGCCTGGGCCTAAGCCCCAGCTTCTGGTTCGCTCTTCCTCTCCTCCTTGTTGCCCCTGCCCCTGCCCCTGCCCCCCCCCTCCTGCTCCCTCCCTCCCTCCATCCATACACATATACCCTGCCATATGCGTGTTTGTCCATGCACCCGGCCGTGCCCGCGCGCTTGCGCCCTGAGGGCGCGACCAAGCCCTTTGCATCTCTTTCAGCACATTCGGGGGTCCTGCCGGCCAGCCATGCGTGTCGCGGCACACGGGCAAAGCCCGGAGGGCAAGAGGCCCAGCCGCATGCCGAGGACGCTGCCACCGGTGTTGTGGGTGTCGCGGGCGGACGCCCAACATGGAAAGAAGCCCGTGGCACATTGGTCGGGAAATCAGGGCCATACATTCCTGTGATCGAGCGTTGTCACCTCGTCGGACTTGTGTGAGGATGCATCCTGCGCGTGAGCGTAAGGATCCAGGCTGCAGGGGGGGGGGGGGCTCTGGTGTTGGCTCATCCTTCTTTCCGTCCTGCCAGCGGGCATTGATGAGACCCGAGCGGGGCGTCGTGTCGGCGGGGGGGCGGGGGGGGCGGGGGAATACCTCCCTGGCAGCGACGCGCGTTCCCGCGGGCCGGCTGACCGCCTGGCTGGCTGTTGAAGGGGGCGTATTCAGCGGACCGGCCTCGGGGGGGGGGGGCGGCCAGGCAGGCCGGCCCAGCCCGGGTCGAACGCCGGCGGTCAACCGCCGTTCGCATGCGTCCCTCGCACCAGGTCGAAACAGCGGCCGGCCCGGAGTGGGGCAGGGCGGGGCCGTGTGCTTGCATTGTGTGTGCGAGTGTGCGCGTGGTGGATTCTCACAGGGAAAAAAAGCAGGTGCACCGTGGGGCCAGCGACGCGTCTCAGGGGTCGGGTCCAGACAGGGGGCTTCCCCTTGGCGGGCGATGGCGTCCCCCCGTACCCCTCCCCCGCGCCCCAAAGCACCACTGGCCACCAGGCCCGCGCATGCGAGCGTTCTTCGCTCC